AACTAAGGGGTTTTTTTTTTTTTTTTTTTTTTTGTTAGACTATATAAGGGTGTAAAGTGTTTTTAATGTAGGGGTTTTGAAAATTTTTGTATTTGGTTGGATAAAAAAGAAATACAAAGTAAAGTATAAAAGTAGTGTAAATCATTCTAATTATTTTTTGAGGTAAACCAAACTCGTCCAGTTTTGAGCGAGAACAATTTACACCGCAAGATAGCTTGCTAGCTCGACCGCCGCAAGCCATCACCACCGTTGCCAACACCACCGCCGACCATCACGGCCGCCACCACCACTGCTTCCAGCCACCATCGCAGTCGCCTGCCTGCCACCTACCACTGTCTTCGTCACCCACTAGTTATTATTATCTTTTGACCTTAAATTCATTTTACTTCAAACTTAAAAAAAAATTATTCATCTGAATTTACTTTACACTTATCCAACCAATTGCAAACTATCCCTTTTATACTGCATTTCTTTTACATTAATTTTTTTTTTTTAGCCAACCAAAGAGCCTATAAGTTTTTTTTAGTTTATATATGTGATGATATGTTGATGCGCTTACTAATTCTTGCTATCATTTTATTGATTTTATTATGATGAATTTGACTATTAAATTTACTTTAAAATTAGTGCAATAATAAATTTTGATACATAACACTAATCTCCAAATAAATCTAATTATTTTCAAACTCATCGTGAGAAGATTTTTATCATGATACTATTTTGCTTCTTTTTTTTTTTAATTATTTAACCCTCGAGTTGGCCTACAAAATAGTAATCAATATAATTATCATATTTTGTATAAATTAATAGTGGTGAGAATTAAATCATATCATAATCCCCATCAAAATTAACATCCAATAATCTTATCTTATTAAAATTTTCATATTAATTAAAATTTATTCTTGCTAAATATAATCACCAATTGTTCTTAAAATTTGACTAAATATCTACTTTTGATAGTTTTTTCGTTCCTTTATTTTTTAGATGGTAATCTTAATTTCATTTTAAATTTTAATGTAGCTTTCTCGTAACTTTTCAAAATTTTTGTAACGAAAAGCTATTTTTTATAATCAGAGCAGCTAAATTATTTTCATCATAATAATTTCACAACCATAGATCATTAAGAAAAAAATAATCGTTAAGAGGTTAAACTATATGATACTACTTAGTGTAATTTTTTGCATTTTATTTTCTTCAATTTATTTGGCAATAATAAATTTTGTTTTCATAAAATATAGTATTAATTAAATTATGAAAAAAAAAAAGAAATAGAAAATTTTTGGGCAGAAAATACCTGCTTCCTATTGTTGCATGGAGGGTGACAATTAGCTCCTCCTCTTGTGGGGTGAACCCTTCATGCTTCAAATTTGGTCTCAAATAATTCGTCCATCTTAATCTACAGCTCTTTCCACACCTCTTCAACCCTAATTCACAACAATAATATTCACAACAATAATATTTACAAAATTTTCTTTTTCAAAAAAAAAAAAAATTAAAAAACTGCTTCATAAAATAATACGAAAGTCATTCCAAATGAAGCCTTAGGTTTCGTTGGGGACCGCTTTCTTAGTGTTTCTTGAAACAACTTCCTAGTACAAAAACTAAGGCTTCATTTGGGATGACTTTCTTATAGTTTCTTAAAACAACTTATTAAGAAGCTGCTTTAAGAAGCAGAAAGAAAACTGTCCCAAATAGAACCTAAGATTTCATTTGGGACGGCTTTCTCACACTTCAAAAAAGTTGCTTTAAGAAATAGTGAGAAAGCCATCTCAAATCAAGCATAAGTTTCACAAAAAAATTAAAATTTATTTATTTAGAAAGTAATAAGTTTATGCCTTATTTCACACTTAATGCACATAAATTAAAATTTTCATTTTTAACCAATAAAAAATTATAAGAAAATTGTACAGTTTTTTTGAAGTGTGAGAAAGCCGTCCCAAATGAAGGTTTCGTTTGAGACGGTTTTCTTGCTGCTTTTTAAAGCAGCTTTCTAGTATAAAAATTTTAATTTTTGTACTAGAAAGCTGCTTTAAAAAGCAGCAAGAAAACCGTCTCAAACGAAACCTTCATTTGGGACGGCTTTCTCACACTTCAAAAAAACTGCTTTAAGAAATAGTGAGAAAGCCATCTCAAATCAAGCCTAAGTTTCACAAAAATTTAAAACTTATTTATTTATAATACCCTAAAAGCAGAACATAGAAAGTAATGAATTTAAGCATCATTTCACACTTAATGCGCATAAATTAAAATTTTCATTTTCAACCAATAAAAATTTCCTTAAAAATTGTAGTGACAAACCTGCTTTCTTTGGAACGTTAGTCCAGTTACCAGTTCCGTGCGTGGAGACGTATGCGAGAAGCTTGGCGTCTTCTTCTGCCGTCCAAAGCCCCTTCTTGACGTTCAGTTTATCGCAACATGGAGGCCTAATTCCCATCTCCAGCTTCTCTTCGCTATAATTAACGTAATTAATCAATAATTTCATACCATAATTACTCGTTAATGATAATATAATTACTAAGCCATTAATTATAGTTAATGAAAGCAAAGGAAAGAAGGAAATATGTCATCTTGATGTATTACAGGTCTGAACTTCACAGGAGAAAGCTTCGAGAAGAGAATAAGGAGGATGACGAGAGAGAGAGAGAGAGAGAAGAGAGAGAAGAGGCCTGGGATTAAAAAGATCAAAGAAGAGGAAGGTGAGAAAAGCATGAGATGGCTCTCATTTATGCAATGATGGCATGATTGGTGTCATCTATAATGAATCGGCTTATTCGTTATAGAATTTTAGTGTGATTTATTTTGATGAGGGGGGTAAATTAATCTCCTCCCACGCATTAAGTAATCTTCTGTCACATGAAGAGGATTGGTGTCAGGCTGGAAACCCTAGCATATTATAATTATTTGTTACAAGAAGAGAATTTTTGAACACTGCCCCCGAATCCGAGTTGGGCAAGCCAAGGGCGGTGCATCAGGCAAATCACTTGACTCTGGTCGCTACCTCCGTCACCAGCTCTCAGTGTAAGACCATTATGCAATGATGGCATGATTGGTGTCATCTATAATGAATCGGCTTATTCGTTATAGAATTTTAGTGTGATTTATTTTGATGAGGGGGGTAAATTAATCTCCTCCCACGCATTAAGTAATCTTCTGTCACATGAAGAGGATTGGTGTCAGGCTGGAAACCCTAGCATATTATAATTATTTGTTACAAGAAGAGAATTTTTGAACACTGCCCCCAATCCAAGTTGGGCTAGCCAGGGGCGGTGCATCAGCAAAATCACTTGATTTCCTGATGATGTGGTGATCGTCAGAAGAATCGGACCTACAAAAAAGGGATTTCCCAATGCAGGGAACAAAAAAACTTCAAAGCTTTAGAAAGAGATAATATTCATCAATGATCCTCCTGCTTATAATATTTTGCTTATATAAGCTGCTAAGAAGATTCTAGAAATATTGTAACAAACTAAAGTAAGCTAGTCCTAAGGAACACTTAAGCTATGATGTTCCACATCACCCGAGCTCAATTACAGGAAGGCTCTCATCTTGGGACAAGTTACTCATATCCCACCAATGCTCACCACCGCATTAGACCTCAGTTTCCTCAACACCACTACGACAATTCATGACTTAGTGCCAACACCCCAATGCCCAATCTATCTGCCACTACAAAACTCGTCCAACCCAGCAATAGCACACAACAGAAGAAATACAAATTTAGATAAAATATGAGGATAATTTTCTGCTGTTAAAGAGTCTGACATTAGCGCAAAGTGCAAACCTTCAAAACATATAAAAGTCTATGATCATGCAATTGAAATAGGAGAAATTATTCTATGCTCAGTCTGGACGGGAAAAACTTTTTGAACATGTAAGTGTACACACTATTTATACATTTGTACACATTATGTATCAAATCAGTGTACACACTATTTGTACACAGTGTGTACACTCATAGTCCATACGGTTCTTCCCGTCCATACTCTGCATAGAATAATTTCTCTAGAAATAGACTATTTTGTGCATTTTGCTAATTGTAAGATTATTTTAGCAAGATCTTGTAAGATGCTACAATTAATTCTATATTTCAAATGCATGTCTTTTTAACCTCTATGAATAGAGTTAGGTTTCATTTGAGACAACTTTCTAAAGTAAATTTTTTATACAAAAAATTATAATTTAAGAAATTTTTGTACTAGAAAAATCTTGTAAAAAACAATAAAAAGATTATCCCAAATGATGCTTAAAGCTTCTTTAAACGGCTTTTTAATACAATAAAATTATTATTTTTACTTAAAAACTACTTTAAGAAGCAGTAAAAGGCCGTCCAAAACAAAATTTTAGTCTTAGAAACAGAGATTTGGTATCTCACATAAGAAAGAAAGTAATGAAAAGATGACAAATTGGGGGGTTCAGATTCTCTTCATCTGCTGAGAGAGTTAAACAAACTTCCATTCAATAACACAACAACAAGAACCAAAATTTTCTTGCATGGGAAGAAATTAAGAAGTTCACAACAAGTTTCTTGATTTGCTTCCTTCTTAATCTCTCTTGCGTTTGTCTCCTCCATTAGAAGAGTGCTGTGCTCGATCTCTCCCTATTTATCACTCATAAAATACAAAAGAATGGATAAATTTTCACGAAATGGTACCTAAAATTCAACCATTTCTATTGAGAGAAATCTTACATATAACAATATAATGCACTGCATTATATTATCATCATTGTATATTTCATTACGATTTGATCATAAAAAATTGTAATTTTAATTTCTCTAATACAATCATGAGATAGTACTCTCTATAAAAAAAGATTTAATTTCATTTGGGACAACTTTGTTAATGCTTTCTAAGGCTTCGTTTGGACGGCTTTTTTACTGCTGCTTAAAACAGTTTTTTAGTATAAAAATTTTATTTCTTATACTAAAAAGTTGCTTTAAGAAACAATAAGAAAGTTATCCCAAATGAAGCCTAAGTCATCGTTTAGAATGACTTTCTAAATTTTTGTACAAAAAGCTGCTTTAAGAAACAGTAAGAAAGCCGTTCCAAACGAAGCCTAAAGCAGCTTTCTAATACCATTTTTATTTTTAATAAAAAGCTGCATTATAAAGCAATACGAAAATTATCTCAAAAGAAACTTTAATGACCAGCACGAATTTCTCGTGGCCGATTAAGCACCAATTAGCTAGATTGAGAATTGGTTGGTATAATAGCCATAGGACCCAATGAACTTGAAGTCTTAAAGAGCAGAGCATGCTTAATAAAGAGTTATTTCTCACATTTACAATAAAAATTATTTATCACAAAAATAAAAAATAAAAAAATAATTTTATCCTGCCCAAATCTTCTAAGCTGGTCTCTTAATACACCCTATATAAATAAAGCAAAAATTAAAAAAAAAAAAAAAACTTAATGCTACAGAGTAATTCAATTCTTCAATCCATTGGTGCCTCCGGCAGGACCTGACGGCGGTGCCGTTCCCCGGGGGAGCAGGTTAAGCAGCAGCGCCTCGTACTTTTTCGTCTTCCCATCCACCTTTCCCTTCACATCCGCCATGGCCTCGCAAGGATAAGCTCTCTGATCCGCCGGCACGACGGAGACGGCCCTAAGTTCTTTCACAGGTCTCGCTGCAGCGCCGCCGCTGAGCACCAAGCACAAGGCAAAGAAAGTGAGCAGTAGAAGCTTAAGCTCCATGGAAACCGATGAAGTAGCTTTTAGAGAGAGAAATAAGAGAGAGAAGTGGGTTGTTTGGAGAAGAAGGAAGGAGAGGAAGCTCTTATAAAGGAGGGCGACGGAGCTGCTATGGTGGGAGAAGTCAAAAAGGGAAGGATGTGGAAATTTCTGAGAGAGTACACTGTTTGACCTCTTTGTTTAATCTTTCCTAAATCTTCCTTAAATTTGTCAAAAAGGGTTTTCTCTCTTCTTAGGTGCGCATTAGTCTGCGGTTAGGTTTGTTAATTATGTCATAAACACGTTTAATAATAGTTCAAATCTTAATTAAATTAAAATTAACATGCTCTAATTTGATTAGTGATTTAAAAATAATTTTTATGATATAATAATCTTAATTAGTAATAAAAATATTTAATAAAATTAATGAATTTTGTTATGATAAATAATTATAATTTTAATTAATGTCCAACGTTTTAGTAGTTATTTTTAAGAGTAAATATTAATATTTGATAAATTTTAAAATAAGAAGGCATAGGTCGGTCTACAATGGCCGCGCTGTCACTGTGCTGATTGAGTTGGGGGAAAGTGACCGTTAATTAAATTTAATTAGTTAGAGCTAAATTATAGTCTAAGTACTCATAAATAAATAAAAATATTAAGACCATAATTGGATGTCAATTCTTGTAAATATTAAATATCTCTTTTTTCTTGATTTAATACTTGATTTATGGAAAAGATATTTTATATATGTCACATGTTTTGTTAATAAATTAGTATTAATAAATTAATAGAAATTTTATTCCATAATAAGAATTATGATATTTTTCTTGAAATAAAATCAACTATGATGTCCAAATAATCTCTCTGAATTTAGTACAACGTAATATCAAATTAATTATTATTATTATTTGTTAGAAAGATTATGACAGTAGAGAACACATTTAGTATCATAATTTTATGTAAATATTCATCACGTACAGATAGAAGTTGTAGGATATCGATATTTTTTATGTGAAAAAGGGGCAAAATCATATGATGTGAACCATTTGTAATAATCTAATACATAATTGTAAGTACAATAATCCGCCTTTCTTAAAAAAATGAGATTATATAATTGAGAATAAATCTCCGTTTCTCATCATAGGTATTACATAAGTTGGGTGTCCATAACCGAATAGAAGAGGTCTAATAATGAGGTTGGATGTTCGTAGTTAGATGAGAATAATCAAATGATAGAAGCTGAGCGAAGATGACGTACAACGATTGTTTATGATGGACGTCATTGTTAGCGGCCTCTAAGAAATAAAATAAAGTTCATTAGAACTCTCACATCTCAAACACCCATCACATAGATAATGAGGTTATATTTATATATTTTTTTGTATGAGCATTTTGATAAATTTTGTCATAATCTAAAAACCTTAATCCATTAATCATAGATTTCTAATTCATCACTTTTTTAAAGGAGTATTTCGATAAATTTGATCATAATCCAAAACACTCAATCAAACAGTCCATATTGCTCCCTCAATCATAATTAATTTGTTTGACATTTGAGTGCCTTAATATTGTCATAATTGAATGATCGTGGGCTCAATATATTTGTTCCGTTGAGCCAATTGATTTGACGATAAGCATGCAAGATTTGAATAACTCTTGACTCTTACATTAATATCATAAAGCTTCGAGATAAGCTTGAAGTACTTGATTTAGGTTTGTGTGGACTTGATCTGATCGTCTGTTTGACTACAAGCATATTGAA